AAAACATCTTACATTTATAATAGTCTATTTTAAGGTGATAACTTAACGTTGAACACATACCAAAGCTCCTCCCCCCCCCCATATTTTAAGTTTTTGATGTCACAATTTGCATCTTTTTACACTGTATGTCCATTAACAACTTATTGTAGTCATATTTATTTTTATAACGTTTGTCTTTTAACCTTCATACTAGATTTGTAAGTGATTTCTCTACCATCATTAGAGTAATAGAGTATTCTGAATTTAACTGTATACTTAACTTTATCAGTGAGTTTTATACTTTCATGTTTTCTTGTTACTAATTAGTGTCCTCTGGTTTCAGTTTGAAGAACTCCCTTTAATATTTCATGGAAGGTTGGTCTAATGGTGATGAACTCCTTCAGTTTTTGCTTGGAAAATACTCTTTCTCTCCTTCAATTCTGAAGGACAACTTTGGCAGGTAGAGTATTCTTGTTTGGCTGTTCTTTTTTCTCAGCACTTTGAATATAACATTGCACTCCCCTTTAGTATGCAAGATTTCTGCTGAAAAATCTGCTGAAAATCTTATGGAGGTTCCCTTGTCCATAACAAGTTGGTTTTCTCTTACTGTTTTTAAGATGCTTTCTTTGTAACTTGACAATTTAATTATAACATGTCTTGGTGTGGGTCTCCTTTGAGTTGTCTTACTTGAAACTCTCTGGGCTTCCTGGATCTGAATGTCTGTTTCCCAGGTTAGGGAAGTTTTCAGCCATTATTTCTTTGAATATTTCTTTTTCTTAAAAAAATATTTATTTTTTTGGCTGCACTGGGTCTTAGCTGTGGCACGTGGTATCTTCTTTGTTGTGGCATGTGGAACCTTCATTGCAGCATGCGGGATCTTTAGTTGCAGCATGTGAACTCTTAGTTGCAGCCTGCTAACTCTTAGTTGTGGAATGTGTCAATTCTTAGTTGTGGCATGTGGGATCTAGTTCCCTGACCAGGGATCGAACCCGGGCATCCTGCATTGGGAGCATGGAATCTTAGCCACTGAACCACCAGGGAAGTCCCCATTATTTCTATGAATAAGCTTTTTGCCCCTTTCTCTATCTCTTCTTCTTCTGGGGCCTTTATAATGTGTATATTGGTCTGTTTGTTGGTTCCCCAACATCCCTTAAGCTATCTAACTGCTTCACTTAAAAATTTTTCCTTTTTGCTCCTTTGATTGCATTCCACTGCCCTGTCTTTGAGTCTGCTAATCCTTTCTTCCCATTGATCTAGTCTGCTGTTGAACCCCTCCTGAATATTTCGTTTCAGTTATTGTATTCTTCAGCTCTGTGATTTGTTTGGTACTTAAAAATTTTTTCTATCCCTTTGTTGAAATTCTCACTTGGTTCATGCATTGTTCTCCTGACCTCAGTAAGCACACCTTTATGACCATTATTTTTAACCCTCTATCAGGTTAATTACTTATCTCTGTTTCATTAAGATCTGTTTTTGGATGTTTATCCTGTCTTTTTCTTTGGAACATATTCCTCTGTTTCTTTATTTTCCTTGCCTTTCTGTGTTGGTTTCTGCTTATTAGATAAAACCGTCATCCATCTCAGCCTTGATAGAATGGTCTTGTGTAAGGGATGAACCTCATTGATCAGTCCAGCCCAAGATCTTAGTTGCCTCATAAGCTTTTGTGACTTTCTAAGCCTTCTTCTTTGTTCTTAGTGGCTCCCAGTAGTGGAGGGTGTGTTAAGACCCATTAGTGTCCCAAAGGGGAGGATCACAGCCAACACCTAGATGTAGGCTGATTAGAAGCTGGACCCTCACTAGCAGCACCTTCCAGGGAGAAACTGGGAGATGGGTGTTTTTGCCTGCTTCCTCTGTGCTGGGTCTAGGTGTACAGCTGTCAGGGTGAGGGTGCTCCTGCACCCGTTATGTTTTGGGGGCTCATCTCTCTGGTAAGAATCTTAAAAGTTGGGAATGCTAGATGTGGGGTTCAAGTCCTTTGCTCCTCAAGGAGAAGCTAGGAATTGGGGATTCCCTTCTGATTGTATGGTGCTGTGTTGGGGGTGGGGTTTATGGTGAGAGTGTTTCTCAGACTTTCCTACTCATTTGATGATATTTTCCCATTCCTCTGATGTGTAGGAGTTGGTCAGTTACTTTCTCAATCTCTTTCAGAGGGAACTGCTCTGTGTGCAGCTGTACATTTGGGGCATCTGTGGGAGGAGGCGAGCTCAGAAGCCTCCTATGTCTCCATTTTGGTCAACTCTATGGAATAAGTGATGTTTTTCCAATTCCTGATATTGTATACATAAGCATTTTTTTTTCTTTTTGGACATTTTTAAGATTGTCTATTTATACTATTCTGAAAATTCATGATTGTATATCTTGGTGCAGTTTTTTTTCATTCACTGTGCTGGATTCTTGATTCCTATTTTTTTTTTAAACAGCTTTATTTAGACATAATTCACATAACATACAATTCACCCATTTAAGGCGAGCAATTCAATAGTTCTTAGTATGTTTACAAATATGAACAATCATCACCACAGTCAATTTCAGAACACTTATGTCACCTCAAAAAGAAACTCTGTATTCAAGACCTATCATCACTTACGCCCCATCCATCACACGCAGCCCTAAAGAACCACTAATCTTTCTGTCTCTAGAGATTTGCCTATTTTGTACTTTTCATATAAATGTAATCATAAAATATGTACTCTTTTGTGACTGGCTTCTTTCATTTAGCATGATGTTTTCAAGGTTCATCCATGCTGCAGCATGTTACCTGTACTTTATTCCTTTTTATGGCCAAATAATACTCCCTGTGGATATACCACTTTAAAACAATCCACTAATCAGCTGATGGACATTTTTGACTATTATGACTATGTAAATTCATGTACATGTTTTTGTGTGGACTTATATGTTCATTTTCCTTGGGTATATACTTAGGGAGTTGAATTGCTGGGTCATATGGTAACTTGATGTGTAGCAATTTAGGAACTGACAGACTATCTGCCAAAGTGGCTGCATCATTTTACACTGCTATTAACAGTGTATGAGGGTTCCAAATTTTCCACATCCTCACCAACACTTAATCTGACTTTTTGATTCTAACCATCCTAGTGGGTATGAAGTTTTTTATAGTTTTGATTTGCATTTTCCTGATAACTAATGGTGTTGACATCTTTTATGTGCATATTAGCCATTTGACTATCTTCTTTGGAGAAATCTCTATGTAGATACTTTGTCCATCTTTTAAATTGGGCTATTTGTGCCGTAATTATTAAGTTGTTGAGTTCCTTATATAGTCTAGATATAAATCTTTTATCAGATATATAATTTGTAAATATTTTCCTCCATTCTGTGATCTTTTCACTTTCTTAATAGTATCCTTTGAAGCACATTTTAAACTTTGACTGAATCTAATTTATCTACTTATCTATTTTTTATTGTTGTTGGTTGTGTTTTTGATGCATATCTAAGAATCCTTTCCCAAATCCAAGGTTACAAAGATTTACCTCTGTGTTTTCTAAGAATTTTATAGTTTTAGTTCTTCCATTTAGCTATCTGATCCATAATGAGTTAATTTTTTTATATGGTTTGAGGTAAGGGTCCAATTTCATTTTTTCCATGTGGCTAGCCAGCTGTCCCAGTACCATTTGTTGAAAAGACAATTCTTTCCCCATTTAATGGTCTTGACACTCTTGTTGAAAATCAGCTGACCATAAACACATGGGTTTATTTCTAGACTATCAATTCTATTCCATTTATTTATATGTCTATCCTTATGCCAGTACTAAACTGACTTGATTACTCTGGCTTATAGTAAGTTTTAAAATAGCAAAGTGTGAATCCTATTTTTTTCTTTTTCAAGATTCTTTTGGTTATTCTGGGTCCCTTGTAATTTCACAGTAATTTTATAATCAGCTTTTCAATTTCTACAAAGAAGCCAGCCATGATTCTGACAGGGATTGCATTGAATCAAGAACATGGGGTTTTTTCCATTTATTTAGATCTTCTTTAGTTTCTTCCAACAATGTTTTGTAGTTTCCAGAGTTGTTTTACACTCCTTTAGTTAAATTTATCCCGAAGTATTTTATTCTTATCAACGCTATTATAAATGGAATTTTTTCTTAATTTTATTTATTTATTATTGGTCTTCTGGCCATGCTGTGTGGCTTGCAGGATCTTAGTTCCTTGACCAGGGATCAAACCCAGGCCCCAGCAGTGAAAGCACAGAGTCCTAACCACTGGACCACCAGGGAATTCCCTTAATTTTACTTTTCGATTGTTCATTGCAAGTATATAAAAGTACAATTGACTTTTATATAATGATCGTGTATCCTGCAATCTGTCTGAATTTATTTATTATTTCTAATAGTTTCTTAGAGGATTCTTTAGGATTTTTTTTTTTTGCAGTACACAGGCCTCTCACTGTCGTGGCCCCTCCCGTCGTGGAGCACAGGCTCCGGATGCACAGGCCCAGCGGCCATGGCTCACGGGCCTAGCCGCTTCACAGCATGTGGGATCCTCCCAGACCGGGGCACAAACCCACGTCCCCTGCATTGGCAGGCGGACCCTCAACCACTGCACCACCAGGGAAGCCCTAGGATTTTTTTACATACTAGATCATGTCATCTGTGAATAAAGATAGTTTTACTTCTTCCTTTCCAATTTGGAACCCTTATATATTTTTTTCCTGCCTAATTGTTCAGGCCACATAGGTAGTAAGAGACAGACCTCAAATTTCAACTTGTGTCTGTTTAAAATCCATGTTCTTTTCATTATAACCTGCTAGCTAACCTTGATGTTGGGGAGAGAGATGAAAAATAAGAATGGAAAGGTAGATTGGAGACCATTCTGTAAGTGAAGCTAAGAATAAAAAGCTAAAGATTGGATTTTTATTTAGTAGGTAGTGAATAACCAAAGGGATGACTTGGTTATTCTAAGGAAGTGTTGCTTTAAGAAGAGAAATCTGTTAACAATGTACCCAATGAATTGGAGGAATAATTTAAAAGGAAAGAAAGCTAGTTAAGAGCTCTTACCTGCCCAATAGCAGCTGTATGGCTCTGGTATCAGCTTTTGTGTCATGTTTCCAAAATGTATTCTCAGTTGGAGGGAGGAGGTGATCTTCAATGTGGTCTTTAAATTGATTCCTAGACAAGGCTTTGATTCTAAGGAATGAAAAAAAATACTTTTTCAGTGGCTAACATATGGGAAAAATCTAAATCAGAATTAATTGAACATGGAATATTAACATACTTCAGCCTTCACCTTAAATATACATAAAACTTCACAATTTACAAAGCCCTTTCCTATATTAGAATCTCATTTCATTTATGTAAGAGAGGGAGGAGAGAATATACCCATTTTTTATATAAGCATGCTGGTTCAGAAAGAGTTAAGAATTTAGCCATTTACATATTTAGCAAGTGTCAGTGCTAGGTCTAGATTTTGGGTATCTTAGCTCCTAGTTTAGGTTTCTTTTCTACCACATTAAGAATTACTTGTTCAACATTTCCAAGATTATTCAGTCCATATCTTGACAAAAAACATATGCTAACAACTACCAAGAAATTAACTATTGGGGTTCACGTTTATCCAGTAACTTACTGTGTAGATGCTCTAAGAAAATCTTCATTCATAGAAGGATGAACTTCTTCCAACAACATGCTAGTATCTGGGCTTGATTTCATTGCAGAAATCACCATGGCATTACGCAGTTTATTGCCTTGTTCTAACAGAGCTGAAGAGGGCAAAACAAAACACAGAAAATCTAAAATCCAACAGAAATACTTGAAACATTTAGCACCTTTCCTTCTCTCACAGGACTTACCATAGTGTACTATAAATGCTTACTTGTCTGCCTTCCCCACTAGCTTGAGAATCCCTTGAGGACATTCACCTTACAAATGTTTACTGAGCTTTATCACGTGGACCATTTTAGATGTTGGCATTACAGCAGTGAATGAAGTCTCCATTATGTAGAGACTGACCGCCTTTACTGGAGTCATTATGTACATGCATTGACTCTTCCAACTGGTGTTTGCACATAATAAATTTAGTAATAGCTACATAATATATTATTTTTGTATCTAGCTATCTTACTGAATTCTCTTATTTGTAACAGTTTTAATGTCATTATTATTTAAGGAACACTAACAACTATATCAGCTAAACTGTTAGGAGTCATAGTGATAATCTAGTCCAAATGTATACTTTTATGGATGAAGAAAAGAATACCAAAACATTTCTATGACTTGTCTAAGATCATACATCAGGTTAACAGAAAAGTCAGGATAAAGTCTTTAAACTTTCTGATAGGTAAAATTTCTCTCATCCCTAAGCAACAACAATTACAGAGGATAACATTTATTGAACCCTTACCACTTCCGGGGCACTACTCTAAGTATGTTATGTATAGGAACTCATTTAATCCTCCCAACAATCCTCTGAAATAGGTACTATCATTTCCTTCATTTTCCAGATGACAAAGCTGAGGCACAGAGGATATGTAACTTGCCCAAGTTATGCATGCGGTATAACCAGGATGACTCTACATCCTATGATTTAACCACTATACATATATGACCCCACTTTTTCTTAGACTTCTTTTTAAAAGCTTAGGACTAGTGGTATTATTTCAAGGAACACTGGGAAGAATTATTATTTTCTTGAGGTTCCACAGTTGCTTAGGATGTAGGTAAGACTAGATACCAAATGCCTGTCCATCTTGGTCTAGAGTTTTATAGCTTCTAAAAATAAAGAAGACATGGCAGTCAGGCCAAGAAAATAATAAGCCAAACAGATCCATAAACATTCAACATTTGTTAGCATAAAGAGTTCAAAATATAGCTTAAAAACTCAAAACCCCAAACCCGAAAAACCCTGAAATATTGTATGTTCAATGCGTTATGTGAAAGTATAAGTAAAAGAAAAATAAAGATCACCATCTGTGGTAGGCAGAATTCTACACTTGATCTTAGCCAAAAGGCCAAAAAGTGATGTAGGCAGAATTCTAAGATAGCTCCCCCCAAATTTCCAGCCACTGGTATACAAATACCTTCTCCCAGTGATTCAGTCATCTAGGTATTGCCATAAAGGGATTTTACAGATGTAATTATGGTTCCAAATCAGTCTACCTCAAGACTGGGAGATTACCTTGGTGGTCCCAAACCTTTATAAAGCAGAGTTTTTTCTGGCTGTTTGCAGGATATGAACTCAAGAGATTTAAAGCATGAGAAGGATGTAATGTTTCATTGCTGTCTTGAAGATGGAGAGGACCACGTGGCAAGAAATGCATGTGGCCTTACGGCCTTTAGGAGCTGAGAGTGGACCCTGGCTGACCGCCAGCAAGGAAATGGGACCGCAGTCCTACTACTGCAAGGAACTGGATTCTGTCAATAAGAATGAACTTGGAAGTGAATTTTCCCTCAGAGCTTCCAGATGAGAATTTAGCTTGGCTGACACCTTGATTGTAGCCTATGATACCCTAAGCAGAAAACCCAACCATAACTTGCTGGACTTCAGATCCACAGAACTGTGACTAATAACTGGGTATTCTTTTAAGCCATTAAGTTTGTGGTTACTTGTTATGCAGCAATAGAAAACTAATATTCCCATTAATGCCACTACCCACAAATACTGATTAACATTTTGATATATTCTGGATAGGTTTTTTGTGTGTGTGTGTGGCTACGCTGGGTCTTCGTTGCTGTGCACGGGCTTTCTCTAGTTGCAGCGAGCGGGGGCTACTCTTCGTTGTGGTGCACGGGCTTCTAATTGTGGTGGCTTCTCTGTGTGGAACACAGGCTCTAGGTGTGCGGGCTTCAGTAGCTGTGGCTCGCAGGCTCTAGAGCGCAGGCTCAGTGGTTGTGGCGAACAGGCTTAACTGCTCCGCGGCATGTGGGATCTTCCCGGACCAGGGCTTGGACCTGTGTCCCCTGCATTGGCAGGCAGATTCTTAACCACTGCGCCACCAGGGAAGTCCCCCGGATAGTTTTTAATCTATGCATACATACATCTATATATGTATGTGTGTGTGTATATATATAAATTTTTTCTTTTGCAAAAATGGTATATTATGTATACAGTTTTTTTGAATTTTTATTTTTTTATACAGCAGGTTCTTTATTAGTTTTCTATTTTATACATATTAGTGTATACATGTCAATTCCAATCGCCCAATTCATCACACCACCACCCCCACTTTCCCCCCTTCGTGTCCATACGTTTGTTCTCTACATCTGTGTCTCTACTTCTGCCTTGCAAACCAGTTCATCTGTACCATTTTTCTAGATTCCACGTATATGCATTAATATATGATATTTGTTTTTCTGTTTCTGACTTACCTCACTCTGTATGACAGTCTCTAGGTCCCTCCACATCTCTACAAATGACCCAATTATGTATACTGTTTTATAACTGCTTTTTCACTTAATAATATGAATTAACTTTTTCTATGTAAATAATGGCTATATAAGTATGTATTTTTGTTTTTACTTATTTAAAAAAAAATCTCTTTGGGATTCAGTCAGAAAATGGCTGTCTTGTTTATTCAGTGAGAAAGGGTGAGGAAAACATGGTCTGCTAGCATTGAAAATTTGGTTAAGGAAGCTTGCTATGTGACAGGAAGCCCTCCTCCTTTTAGTTTCTAGTTAATACTTGGCTTAATTTGATATGGTTTAAAGTTCTTTAATGAGGTGGGCACACTCAATAAATGCTTTATGAATAAAGTAGTTAATGACAAGCAGTGTCAATAATAAATTTCATTTGATTTCAGGGCCATGTAGAAAAACAGTTTTTCTACTGATACCCAAAATGTCCCTAGAGATATTTGGTACTTGGTACTTTATAATCTAACCACACACAACTATATTTAATTCCTTAAACACAATACTTCCTTTGTGCTCTCAAAGTTCTGCGTATCTGATTCCATCAAAGAATTACCATGCAGTATTAAAATTGTCTATCTCACCCAAACAACTTTGAGACGAGAGATTGGCTTTTGTTGGTCTTTGTATGCTCGGTACCTAGTATATATCAGGAATTTGATTAAATGTTTCAATAAATACTTCCACTGTTGCATATATCATACAAAATTGTACTGTATCTGCTTTAGAGTCTGTTTCCTTTACTACAATGCATTCATTAAGTCAGGGACTATCTTATTTATCACTGTAACCCCAATACTCAAAACAATGGTTGACACAAAATAGGCACTCAAAAGATATCTGCTGAATTGAACTGAGCTTAAAGTTTTCATCCCTGCTAAATAAAATTTCCCTGGGAATAGTAATATTTTAAGAGTGACTTAATTAGTCATTAACATTTGAATAGGAATAGGTACTTAAGATACTTTACAATAGCAGGTTTTTAAAAAGAAATAAACATTGCAGACAACAAGTAGGACAAATCTGAGCAAGGGTGGTCTATTCATTGGCCTCCAAGTGGTTTCTTCCTTGAAACAGACATTCTTAGAATAGTTTCTCTAAAGTCTAAGTCATGGCAACAATACCACCTTAACTCCCCTTCTTAAGAGGAAGCTGGTTCCACACTAAAAGAGCTGTCATGGCATCTTCCTGCACCTCAACTCAATAATTATTTTTTAACACAAGGGAAGGGCACTTAGCTGAGTTCATGACAAATGTTTCCCTTGTTTATTTCCTACATGCCATGGGCACAGCCCCTGCTAAACAGGGAGGTACACAGCTTTTGGTTTTTGTTCCTACTCCTTGTTATCTATTCTAAACCCCAACTCTTAACAAACTTATGGTTATCAGTGGGGGAAGGATAGGGAGAAGGGAGAGTTAGGGAGTTTGGGATTGAAATGTACACACTGCTATATTTAAAATGGGTAACTAACAAGGACCTACTGTATAGCACAGGGAACTCTGCTCAATGTTATGTGGCAGCCTGGATGGGAGGGGAGTTTGGGGGAGAATGGATACATGTATACGTATGGCTGAGTTCCTTTGCTGTGCACCCGAAACTATCACAACATTGTCAATTGGCTATATTCCAATATAAAATAAAAAGTTAAAAACAAAAAACAAGAAAACCGCCAACTCTTATAAGCAGGATGTGTAGTGTTTCATAAATTCTAGCTCGATGACTAATTCAGCTCTGTCCCCCCCCTTACTGGTATGATGTCAGTATAATAAAGACCAGGAAGATAATTAGGTTTATGTATTTGTTATAAACCTCCATGACTAGCTTTAGACCTACTTACTAAAATGACCCACTTAATCTTAGTGCTCCACGGTCTTGTGGTTGGAAGGGATCTTTAAAGATCACATCTGTCTACTTGATGATTTAATCCCATCTGTAAGAGTCCCATGACAAGGTTATCCAGCCCATACTTGACGATTCCCAGTGATACAGAATTCACTATCTCTTGAAGCTATCCCTTCCCACTTTTGCAAGGAAGAACTGTTAACCCAGACTGAGTCACAATCTGTCTTGTTTTATCTTTAAACCCAAAGATCCTAGTACATCTTATGGAAGAAATTTGCACATTGGCAGCCCATGGGTTGCACCTGGCATATTTTATTTGGCTTGAACAGTTGGCCAGCATAGTCTCGATTTTTAAAAAAAGCAGGCCTAGGTAAACAAGGAACCTACAGTAGGATGAAGCAAAGGACTTTGCTGTACAGTTTAAGATAATGATGAACTGGAGCTGAGAAGCAGCTGTCCCGTTTGATAGGGCAGAAGCTCCCTAACTGTGAGCCTGTGTCTTCATTTTAAAATGGGGATAACAATCCCAACCTCACTTGGTTTTTGTGTATAAGGCACTTGGCATAGTAGGTAGCACATAATGAATGGTAAGTAAATGGTAGCTGTTTTCTTGAGGCTAAATATCTCTTGGTGGTCCCTTCCCCAGTCTAGGTACTCTCCTTAGAAGGAACTCATCTTCTATAGATCTTTAATATTAACTTCTTAAAGAAGACTTCCTTTGGAACTTCCCTGGTGACACAGTGGTTAAGAATCTGCCTGCCAATGCAGGGGACACAGGATTGAGCCCTGGTCTGGGAAGATCCCATATACCGCGGGGCAACTAAGCCCGTGCGCTGCAACTACTGAGCCTGTGCTCTAGATCCCGTGAGGCACAACTACGGAGCCCACGTGCCACAACTACTGAAGCCTGTGCACCTAGAGGCTGTGCTCTGAAACAACAGAAGCCAATGCAATGAGAAGCCCACGCACCGCAACGAAGAGTAGTCCCCCGCTCGCCGCAACTGGAGAAAGCCGACACACAGCAACGAACACCCAATGCAGCAAGAACAACAACAAAAAAAAAGTTAAAAAAAATTAAAAACTCCCATTTACCATTGCAACAAAAAGAATAAAATATCTAGGAATAAACCTACCTGAGGAGACAAAAGGCCTGTATGCAGAAAATTATAAGACACTGATGAAAGAGATTAAAGATGACACAAATAGATGGAGAGATATACCATGTTCTTGGATTGGAAGAATCAACATTGTGAAAATGACTATATTTCCAAAAGCAATCTACAGATTCAATGCAATCCCTATCAAACTACCACTGGCATTTTTCACAGAACTAGAACAAAAAATTTCACAATTTGTATGGAAACACAAAAGACCCCAAATAGCCAAAGCAATCTTGAGAAAGAAAAACGGAGCTGGAGGAATCAGGCTCCCTGACTTCAGACTATACCACAAAGCTACAGTCATCAAGACAGTATGGTACTGACACACACAAAAAAATAGATCAATGGAACAGGACAGAAAGCCCAGAGATAAACCCATGCACATATGGTCACCTTATCTTTGATAAAGGAGGCAAGACTATACAGTGGAGAAAAGACTGCCTCTTCAATAAGTGGTGCTGGGAAAACTGGACAGCTACATGTAAAAGAATGAAATTAGAACACTCCCTAACACCATACACAAAAATAAACTCAAAATGGATTAAAGACCTAAATGTAAGGCCAGACACTATAAAACTCATAGAGAAAAACATAGGCAGAACACTCTTTGACATAAATCACAGCAAGATCCTTTTTGACCCACCTCCTAGAGAAATGGAAATAAAAACAAAAATAAACAAATGGGACCTAATGAAACGTCAAAGCTTTTGCACAGCAAAGGAAATAATAAACAAGATGAAAAGACTACCCTCAGAATGGGAGAAAATATTTGCAAATGAAGAAATTGACAAAGAATTAATCTCCAAAATTTACAAGCAGCTCATGCAGTTTAGTATCAAAAAAACAAACAACCCAATCCAGAAATGGGCAGAAGACCTAAACAGACATTTCTCCGAAGAAGATATACAGATTGCCAACAAACACATGAAAGCATGCTCAACATCATTAATCATTAGAGAAATGCAAATCAAAACTACAATGAGATATCATCTCATACCGGTCAGAATGGCCATCATCAAAAAAATCTACAAACAATAAATGCTGGAGAGGGTGTGGAGAAAAGGGAACACTCTTGCACTGTTGGTAGGAATGTAAATTGATACAGCCACTATGGAGAACAGTATGGAGGTTCCTTAAAAAACTAATAATAGAACTACCATACGACCCAGCAGTCCCACTACTGGGCATATACCCTGAGAAAACCATAATTCAAAAAGAGTCATGTACCACAATGTTCACTGCAGCTCTATTTACAATAGCCAGGACATGGAAGCAACCTAGTGTCCATTGACAGATGAATGGATAAAGATGTGGCACATATACACAATGGAATATTACTCAGCCATAAAAAGAAACAAAATTGAGTTACTTGTAGTGAGGTGGATGGACATAGAGTCTGTCATACAGAGTGAAGTAAGTCAGAAAGAGAAAAACAAATACTATATGCTAACACATATATATGGAATCTAAAAAAAAAAAGGTCATGAAGAACCTAGGGGCAAGACGGGAATAAAGACACAGACCTACTAGATAATGGACTTGAGGACACGGGGAGGGGGAAGGGTAAGCTGGCACAAAGTGAGAGAGTGGCATGGACATATATACACTACCAAACGTAAAATAGATAGCTAGTGGGAAGCAGCCGCATAGCACAGGGAGATCAGCTTGGTGCTTTGTGACCACCTAGAGGGGTGGGATAGGGAGGGTGGGAGGGAGGGAGACGCAAGAGGAAAGAGATATGGGGACATATGTATATGTATGACTGATTCACTTTGTTATAAAGCAGAAACTAACACACAATTGTAAAGCAATTATACTCCAATAAAGATTTTAAAAAAAAAGAACTCTAAGTCAAAAGCAAAAAAATAAAAAAACTTATAAAAATAAAAAAAATTAAAAAAGAAAGAAGCCTTCCTTTGCCAACATACATAAAACAGCATTCTATCCTCTCTTCTTCCTTGCTTCATGTTTTTCCCATTGCCATGATCACTATCTAACACTACATACTTACTTATTTATCTAATTTATCATTGGTATTCCTACTAGAATATAAGATCCGTAGGGGAGGATTTTGTGCCTTTTTAAAAAATAAATTTAAATTGCTATATTCTTAACACCTCGAAGACTGCCAGACATTTAGTAAGTGCTGAATAAATAACTGCTTAATGAGTAAACAAATATTTTATCAAAGTCTGCTGCCCAGGTCTACACAAAATACTCCAGGTGTGAGAATGACAAGTGCTGAGTATAGTCAGGCAATTTTCTTTCTTGTTAATGTAGCCTAGGGTTGCATTAAAGTCTAAAATTAATATAGGGACTTCTCTGGTGGTGCAGTGGTTAAGAATCTGCCTGCCAATGCAGGGGACACGGGTTTGACTCCTGGTCCGGGAAGATCCCACATGCCGCGGAGCAACTAAACCTGTGCACCACAACTACTGAGCCTGCACTCTAGAGCATGCCATCTACAACTACTGAAGCCCACGCGCCTAGAGCCCGCGCTCCGCAACAAGAGAAGCCACTGCAATGAGAAGACTGCGCACCACAATGAAGAGCAGCCCCCGCTCACCACGACTAGAGAAAGCCCATGCGCAACAACGAAGACCCAATGCATGCAAAAACAAAAAAGTAAAAAAATAAATAAAAAAAATAAAATTAACGTACCATAATCAGAGTATATTTTTTAAACGAGGGGATCATAGACATTTTAGTTGAAAAAATATTAACACAATGTCTTTCTTCATTAAAAAAAATCCTTACTAATGTAAATTTTGTATCCACGTAGTTTTTTTTTTTTTTTGTCTTTAAACTAGAATTTATTGGTATACAAAACTCCATTTCATAGATAAAGTGGCACATCTTTGCAGCTTCTATTGCACCAAGTATTGAAGATTAAAAACACACAAAAAGAAACATTTGGTTTTGAAAACACTGCAAATAGCCAAGTACAGTACTTTGGTAAATAAAAAATAAAATGGTTCAGAGTAACACAATCTGAGGAAAGAAACATCCTGGAGGAAATGAACTATGGACATCAGACAATGGTCGCATTACCCCTGTCCAGCTCCACAGATAAGGCAAGACTTGCTTAGTCTATGGATCATGACCCCACAGAGGTTCAAGTAGTTTTAATTTAAAAGACTTTTCTACTAAAGCTGCAGATATTCTACTTTGGAAATTTTACTTGTGAGGATGGAGACAAATTTATGTCATGCTCTTGATGTCACAGAGATATATGGTTGACCATTACAGTGTAACATAAGGTACCAAAATTGCTTTTCATTTAATACCACTACCTAAAATGAAGTAATACAACCTCTTTCCTATTTCCTTTTTAAATTTCAGTGTAAGCCCTTACACAGGTAAACCGATTCCTTTCTACTTCTGTTTGGCTATCAGTCATATTTAATACCCAGGCGTAAGATCAGCAGTTTCTGTGCACTGAATGTTCCCACTGAAAACAACAGTTTTCAGAATATGAAACAAGTTTAGTACTAGTCTCTGAACAATGGTATAAGTAAATTCTGATGATGAGACAAAAATCTTATTTGCTTTGAATTATCTCGAAAAAAATCAGGACTAATATTTTTCTATGATAAAGGCTTTCCTCCCATACCCAGGTTCACTTTAAATGGTTCCTTCCCTAAACTGAAAATTATAAGTGCCCAGTAATTATTTAGAAGAAACTCAGTGGTTTAATAGAGTGGTTTAATAGAGCTGCCCTTAAAAGGTTAGAAATTCTGGACTCTAGTAAGATATTCACTTGCATTTGGCTATTTAGTTCAAACAGAAGTCTTGGTTCTCTTTGTAGGTTGCCTAATGAGCAGACTAATCCCAATAAATATAGCTTAGTCTCAGTTCACAAATATATACATACCTAAAAGAAGGTTCTTGGTAGGAGGGTTGTTTGAAGAAAGAACACATGAGTCACTGTGACTCTTGGCAACTGTCCTAATTTGAGGCCGCAATTCAGAACTGTTGAGAAGGGACATCTGCTTCTGTGGGGCTTTGCCTTTCAGAGTCATAGACTCTAAACTCTGTCCTGAATTAAGATGGTGCCGTAGTCCAAAGAAAGAGTCCTTTATTGTATCAGAGTTCTCTGCAAAGTACAAGTGGTCCTTTCCCCTGTTTTAAAATAAAGGAGAACTTCAACAGTATATTATCCATTATGGTAACATTCCACCTTGTCAGAGAAGGAAAGTGGATCAGTGGTATATAGCAGTGTAGCTCAGGCTTTGTAAATATGTTTTTCATTTCCCAAATTAAATAAATAATAGATGTTTTACCTATCATTGTATGGTTTGGCTAAAGTGAGACAATGAAATAAAGAGCTCAGTGCTGAGCCTGACACAAAGCAAACGTCTGATAATTATTTAAAATCAAAATCTGTTTCTCTTCATTCCATTTCACAAAACACTGCCTTTTCCCTCTTTCCCTTCATGTACACCTATCATGGCATCTCTATGTGACTTAGACATACTTACTTATCTGTATATTGGCCTCCTCACTAGATTGTGAGCAATGTTCAAAAATAGGAATTGTGTCTTATCAATTTCTATGCCTAGCAACTGGTACTGGACCAGAAACATATTGAGTACTTAATACTTATTTGCTGAATGAATGACTACCTTTAACCTTCTACACAACCACAAATGAAAGACCGAAATTATGAGTACACTGGGAGTTAGCAGACAGTCTGACTGGTATTAGGTGTGGTAATTACCTTGGAGTGGTTGACCTACTGCTGTTGGCTGCTAACTCTTTTCCATCAATTTTGGTGGTAGGGATCCTCTGAGGCCTTGATGGAACCAGAAACTGAGTATTGCCTGCTTCAGTATATTCTCTGAATCCTTGTTCAGATAAAAGCACATTTTCTGTCATGTCAGTGGTAGGAAGAGGAGTGTAGCTGTCAAAAGTTTCTGACAAAGGCTCCAGGGCAAGTGAGACCTGAAAGGGACATGTAATGTATCAGAAGTCTTTTTTTTTTTTTATAGCATTGATTAATTTTAAGACTCTCTAATATAAATTAATGGCCCCGTTCCTTATAGGATCTAGTTCAAATTCCTGCCTACCCCAGAAGCCTCATCTCTCACTGTGTTCCTCTCCTCCGTCTCTCTCTCCTGGATATACCAATTACTTAGAGTTTTCTAAATGTACCTTATATTTCATTCCCTTATGCCTTCATGTGCAAATTTCCTCCAGCATTACTTCCTCTGTGAAAACTTCTTTGTGTCCAGGCAGAGATGTTATGGCCACTCCTTTTTTCATGTTTCTACTTACTTTGTATCTATCCATTAATATAACCACTATTTATTGAACACTTCACAATAGGCCAGAAAGTGTGCTATGTTCCTCACACAGAAAAGCTGATGTGATGATATAACTGTCAGGAAAGTATATTATCCTAATTTGAAGATTAAAAAAAAAAGCAGAGGCTTAAAGGAGGTATTTGTACTTCCAGTTTATTTGTTATCCTGATCAGATTATGAATTCCTTGAAGGCATGAACTGTCTTATTCATTTTTCTGTAGACTAATCAGTGTAAGTATACACTTAGTGTACAAGTATGCATAATAATGACTAATGGTCTGAAAAATAAAAGAATGACATAGCACCTGTTGCATCCTTATTGCTAGCTATTTGAGAAAAATAAGGCCCTAGTTCTATGCTGGGGATGAGGCAGGGTGAAGAGGGAGGAACATTAAAATGAAAAGTAATTACGTGAAGTTTCCTTTATCGTCCAACTCCTCTGAATTCAGGCACTCTACTAAAATGCTTTCCAGGTCTCTGAAAAGCCCAATGGAGAAAAGCCTACTGTAGGAATAAAAAATAAAACAGAGCCTAAAGCAAAACTTTAGAGAAGAAATTGAAGAATGTACTCCAAAAGAAAAGAAGAGCAGTGTGGAAAGTTCAGTTACAATGACACAGACAGCAGAAGGAATTGTTCAAGTAGCCAAAGAGAGTCACATAATGATGAATGGCCTAAGACAAAAATGAAAGATTGCAGTTAAATATTTTAAGAAGTCTCTGGGAAGGTCAATGGAATAATCTATGTGGAGAAACTGCCAAGGCATAGACTCAATAAACACACCTGAGTCTTGATGAGGAGAATTTTGTTCATGAACTAGGTAGCATAAAGTCCTTTAAATCTATTCATCATTAAGATTTTCTACAAAGACAAATGACTGGAATGCAGTGGGATAAATACTTTGTGCAGCCACTGCTATAAGAGGATCACATAAAATCCTGGCTGCCCAAATATAAGTGTCAGAAAATCGTCCCTTGCCATTCATCACTTGCCAAAAGACTGCCACTTTATTCTAGAAACAAAGGAGACACTGAGAATAAAGGCTGCGTCCCTGGCCTTAACAATAACCTGCTGGCTGGTCAGAGTTTTGCTTTATCCCTAAGCAAATTTGAACTAGTCTCAAAACAACTCAAAGGCCTTTACTACCAGTGAGAAAGAAAAAGAAAGTCCAGTTACCCACCACACCCACCTTACAATCAAAATATAGGTGCTGGCCTAACTCCTGTGTTCAATTAACAAATATTTGTTGATACTAGTTCAGTGCCAGGCTCTGTGCTACCTGCCTGGGGCAAAGAGATGAATAAAACATGGAACCTGACCCAAAGGATCAGAGTATCTTTTAGGGGAATTTAAAAAGAAGTAATTTTAATATAAAATGGGGAGTTCTGGGATTATCTACTACATTTATAACATCTGATATTGGAGAGAACATATTAGTATGTCTATTTTTCAGACTTATGCTAGTCAATATAGCATTTTAAAAGATTTCAAAATTATTTAACAGTGATTAAGAAAACAGATTTTATGTAAAAATTTGAATTTCTGGCTTCTCTTGAAAAATCAGAAGATCCAGCAATGCTGGGTTTCCATCCCATTGTGGCAAAAATTAGCTGGAGTAGACTAGTGGCTTTAGTCAGGGTATGTGCTCCAGTTTGCAAAGTCCCCAGCCATGTCCCAACAAGAGATAGAGGGACAACTTCTGTTTATCATCACATTTGATCTGCTACATTAAAAAAAAAATTATTTAACATAGTAAAATGGACATTTTTGTAAATATACACTTCTATGAATTGTAATCTATGTTTAGATCCATGTAACCACCACCATAATTAAGATATGGAACACTTCCATCACCCCCCAAAAACTCCCTTTATAGTCATGCCCTCTTCTCACCTCTAACCTCTAGCAACAGTTGAATTTGATAAAATTCAATACTCATTTATGATCAAATCTCTCAGAAAACTTGAACTTTCTCAATGATAAAGGGCATCTATGAAAAACCTGCATCTAATACCATATTTAATAGTGAAAAGACCAAATGCTTTCCTCCCAAGAACAAGAACAAGGCAAGGATATCTGCCTGGTTTCATCCAAGACAAATGGATGAAAATTGTGAAAATTGTGTAATGGAACACAACTCTGCAAAAGGGAATTATTGATACATAAAGTAATATGGATGAATCTCTAAACCTGGTTTCTTTCCATTATTCTATTAATATTTCTTTTTTTCCTATTAACATTTCTTAACCTAGTTGACGAGCCAATGGGTGTTCACAGTATGGTTATTTTTATATCTTATACATCTAAGATATTCTTTTGCATATCTATCTCTATTTAATAAAAAAAAAAATTAAATGAAATAAAACATGTAGTGCCTAATATGTGGTAGGCATGCATATAATAAGTGTTGCTAATGGGAATTCCCTGACGGTCGAGTGGTTAGGACTCCGTGCTCTCACTGCCAAGGGCCTGGGGTTCAATCCCTGGTCGGGGAACTAAGATCCCACAAGCAATGCGGTGTGGCCAAAAAAATAAATGTTGCTAAAAAAGTTATCAGCATGAATTCCTTCAATGTTATCCATCTCAAAATGTTTCTCCTCTTTCCCTCCTTGTTATAATTCCTCCATTCCAAAGTTTACCACTATCAGTTGTGTTCTTAATAGAAATTCATTCCCATCTAATTCTCTCCAAGACCTTACTTGCTCAATTATCCTCTTTTATTTTCAATATCTTTCTTCACTTGCTTTTCTCTTGGTCTACAAAACAAATCAGGTCTCCTATACTCTAAAAACGGCTCAGCAAACTCATTCTGTAAAGGGGCAGAGGGTAAATAATTTAGGCTTTATTGCACATTCTTCTTTTTTTAAATGACCCTTTAAACATATAAAAACCATTTTTAGTTAGAAGGCCAGATTTAGTCCACTGGGCAAAGTTTGCCAACTCCTCTTCTAAAGTAGCAACAAACTTCTCAATTCTGCTGCCCACTATCAATACTTTCCTCTCCAATTCAAGTAAATTTGGCATGTCCCTGTCATGTGCCTAAGTACCATGTTAAGTGCTTCCATATTTTTTTCATATCATTTAATCCCTACAACAATGCCGTACGGTAAAAGTTATTGTCTTCATTTTATAAAATAGGATACTGAAGCTCAGAGAGTACAAATGAACACCAGAAATGTTTTCATAACCAGTTTTTCCATGTCCAAGTCTTGTGCTATTTCCATTAGGTCACACTACATCTCCCTCTGCTGCCATTTATGTGGGAAACAGAGAGAAATCTCTAACTGTTATTTCTACTTCTTCACTGTAATTACTACTTATTTACTTATTCCATAATCTTTCAAAATCTTATCTCTGTCTCCAAGGCTCTATTAAAACAATTCTCTAAAGAACCCAATGACATTTAAATAAAAAACATACAAGTATTATTTTATCAACTGACATTTAAATAAGGGAGGAAAAAAGATGCACTACCTTAGAAAACAGTCCAGTAGTTCCTCAAGGTTAAACATACTTACCATATGACCACAATTCTACGCCTACAAAAAACTTGTATGCAAATGTTCATAGCAGCATTATTCATAAAAGTCAGAAAGTGGAAACAATCCAAATGTCCATCAACTGAAGAATGGATAAACAACATGTGCTATAATATATCCATATAATGGAATATTATTTAGCTATAATAAGGAATAAAGTACTGATTCATGCTACATGGATGAACCTTGAAAACATTATGCCAAGTGAAAGAAGCCAGATACAAAAGGTCACATATTATACTACATCATTTATTTGAAATGTCCAGAATAGGCAACATATAGAGACAGAAGGTAGATTAGTGGTTGCCAGGGGTTGGGGAAAGGTACAAAGGGGAATGACTACTAATGGGTATAGTGTTTCTTCTTGGGGTGATAAAATGCTCTGGAATTAGATAATCGTGATGGTTGTACAATCTTGTGAATACACTAAAAACTACTGAACTGTATACTTTAAAAGGGTGAATTTTATGGCATATGAATTATATCTCATTTTTTATATAGGGAAAAAACCTACCTAGAATTCTACGCTCCAACTGTTTCTATTTTCCCTTGTTTTTTCTTCCCCAGTCATTAATCATATGCATATATGTGGGTATAATTTTAATTCTCTTTTGTCATCAATCCAAAATAATTTTCCATGTTGCTACACAATCATAACTATATAATTTTATCTTTTATGGAAACAAAATATTCCACTAATAGATGATTTAAATATCATTGAATGAACTGTTTTCATTTTTTCAATATTAAAAGTGCATTTCCATAACCAGTCCAAAGCATATAACTTTCCTCTCTTTTTATGGTATTTCCTTAATATAAGACCCCAGGGTAAATGATATATGATAATTATTATGGCTCTTGAAACATAATGCCAAACAGTTTTTGCAGGTCTGATGCAAATCTGTACCATTATCAGAAAAGGAGGAGTAAACCAGTCCCATTTTACCATGAAGTTACCACCATAAGGTGTCACTATCTTTCAATATATTATAAATAAAAATATGATAAATAGAATATAGAAAATGTTCAGTTCTTTTACTTAGTTAAATCTATTTCTGAACTTTATTCTCTTCCTTTGACAATTATGTGCTTGTGGTTTTATAATAGGTTCTTACATCTGGTAATGTTATATGTTCTTTCCTCATCTTTTTTGAACTGTTTTCTTAAATACCTGCTTAAATTTCTATACATATTTTAGAATACATTTGACAAGGTATAAATTTCTCAAGGATTTGAATATTCAGAATTCTCTAGGAAGAACTCCCAGAGTCTCCCTCAGAAAGAGACCCTTCTATGTTCTTTCCCACCATCCTGTACATATCTATAGTATATGTGTATCAATATCACACTGCGTTCTACTTGTTACTCTCTTCTATTTCCTCCTACCTGACTTTGGAAAACTAACTGAAAGGCCCATCTCTTATCTTTGTATCTTAAGTTAGTGGCACATAACAGCATATCAAAAAAATGTAGGCTGAATCAATGAATGAACAATCAACAACTGGTTATGCACTTCTAATACTGAAAAAATGAAAACAGTTTATTCAACAATATTAAAATCGTAGTCTGTTGACTCATTTAAGATACCACTTAAATGAGTCAAACAAGCCATTACTGCTTGGCACTATGTTAGAAGTTGTGGGAAAAACAAAGAAAGTAGAAAACACTGTCCTCTCTCCCAGGGAATCTAGAAACTAAAAGGAAGGGAAATTAAAGGGAAACTACAAATACAAAATTTTGGAGACTATGTAGGATTATAACTGAACAATGATTATGTAATTCATGTTATTCTAAATTTAATAGAGAGTACATTTATTAATAAATAAAGAGAAGAATGAGTGCAGTAGGAGCTGCGAAGGTCTCTTGGAACTTGAGATGGGCAGCAAAGAACTAAGAGGATATGGATAAGTGGGAAATAAGTACATGACAGTCTGGGTAAAAACATGAACAAAAGCACGAAGTGGGAATTTGCATGGTATGTGGGAGTCACGTACCTACCCATTCTACAAACAGACTCAACTATTTGTGCCCCCAAAGTTTTATTCTATGTAGCAGAGAATTATACTATTTTTACCTGGAGTTCTCCAAGTTTCTTAGATGTTGGTGAAACAATGGTAAAAAATCCATTGATGTGATGGGTTGGAGAAAGCTGGGCTAGTCCACTGATCTGAACTCTACCAACCGGAAGATGTTCAAGTTTGGTGATTACTTCCAGCACCAGCACAGCCATATCTAATCAGAAACAATTACAACACAGGCAGACATTTTTCATTTACGTTTTCTTGGAAGTGGAAAGAGGAATATACATTACAAAATTTTTTTACTTAAAAAAATCATTTTATTTTCAAATAAACTATGCACTTACCATATCATTCAGGGGGTGGGGAAGAGTGAACCCAAGATCAAAAGAACAACAAAGTTTTAGAGAAGAGCAATGACAAATACCTCGAATGGAGAAAAAAATTACATAAAAATATTTAGAATATCAAGTATTTGATAAGGAAAATACCTTTGAGAGAGTATATATATATTTTTTACATATTTGGCAAGGACTCAGACTTTAGTTTTGAAATAAAAAAGCAACAATAAAAAAATTCTCAGTTTTTAAATTCTCACCATTTCTAGTTTTGAACTGGACAAAGGGCTTCTCTTGTATAGATGCATGGGTTGGTTCCTGCCTCTCAGGAGTATTTTACTGCTTATTTCTCAATAATATCTGGAACACTGAAAGGCTGAGAGCACTTAGAACTAAAGGGAATGGAAATAAACTCCTTAACTGTATTCGTCAATTGGTTGCTTAGACTTAACCCCTTCATGGTCCTAATTTACAGCAGGAGAAATAAAATGCATGCATATGCAATCTGAGATTATTTCAGGACAGTGTAACTTCTGAACATTTTCTTACCAAAGTTGAGAAAGTGGTTCATTTTCACCCTTTGTTCAATGCTGTAGTGAAAAGAGTATTGGGTTTACAATTAGAAGATTTGTGATTGTGTTGTGGCTCCAACATTCACAAGCTACTTCTGTGTAAGCCACAGCTGTCTATAAAACAGGCATCATAATACCTATATCATGGCTGTGTGAGGCATGGGAGTATTGCAAGTAAAACACATAGCACAGTATCCTTTTATATGGCAGCTGCTTAATGCTTGTTATATGACTTTAGGCAACTTACTTAACATATCACCGTCCCTGTCTTACCTAATCATGCAAGTTCTCTGAAAATTCTATGAGCTAATAGGTATAAAAGTGCTTTGCAGACTATAAAATAACGTGCATATATAGAATAAGGGAAATGTACCAACATTTGTTGGTTATTTACTAACAGCCAGGCTCACCCATGTCTCATTTCTTTTCTTTTCTTTTTTTTTTTTTTTTGCGGTACGCGGGCCTCTCACTGTTGTGGCCTCTCCCGTTGCGGAGCACAGGCTCCGGACGCGCAGGCTCAGCGGCCATGGTTCACGGGCCTAGCCGCTCCGTGGCATGTGGGATCTTCCCAGACCGGGGCACGAACCCGTGTCCCCTGCATCGGCAGGCAGACTCTCAACCACCGTGCCATCAGGGAAGCCCTCATTTATTTTCTTAATTAAATATCTATGTGTATCTTTTAAAAGTTCTTATCACTTTCTACCTACTATTGTAACTAAACTTCTTTGTGCATTTAGTTAGAATTAGACACCATTCTGATTAAATTTTTTGATTCATTTTTGTAATCTCCACAGTGTCTAGCACAACGTCTAGCACATGCTAAGTGTTCAATACATATTTTTTGAATAACTGAATTTTTTTTCTTTATATTTTGATGTCTTCAAAATTTTCTTCTTGAAAGAATGCAAACTTAAGGACAAGTTAATCTTTAATTCACCTCTGGCTCTCCGGTATTCTTAGCCCAACAATATTTACATGATAAATGCTTAATTTTTACTGACTTGAACTGAATTGATTTAATAAGTCTACCATCCAAAATGTGTTTATATGAAAACTTGACCTGAATAGAGAAATAACACAGTACATTTAGAATGCTTTCCTTTAACAGAAATGAAGAAATTTTAGCTCCTGGTTCCAGTAGAGGGATCCTCCCTTCTCTGAAAACCTGTACTATTAACTCACTAAATCACTCATTGGCATTTAGCATGTATTATCTTGTATCATATAAATTTTGTATGTATACCATCTTTCCTTGAGCATAATGTAAGTCCCAGAGTACAGACTACAGTTATTCCTTAAAGAAGCATGGTGTGGTGACAAGTGCATGAGTTTTGGTGTCAGAGAGAAGTGGGTTCAAATCCTAGTTTGGCCATTTGTCAACTATGTAACCTTATAGAGGATTCATTTTATTTCTCTGAACCTCAGTTTCATTGTCTATAAAACAGAGAAAATATCTATCTTGCAAGGTTATTAAGGATTAGAAATAATATGTATCAACTGGTAGCACATAGTATACTCTCAATAATGGTGGCTATTATAAAACCTCTTTGACTCCTCAATAATTAACAATGCCATAGATACTAAATACACGATAATACCTATTGTTAACAACATAATCACATGCTTCTTATTAGGCCTACAGGTGAAACGATAAGACAAAAACATACCTGTTAGATAAGAGGTAAACTGCTTTGGACCACAGCGAATAGCATAACGTGTAGTTGTTCTCACAGCTTTTGGTTCGGTCTGCAATGTATCCCTGGGACAAAAGAGTGTTCCTTCTGATGTTTCTCCCCACCATCTCACTCGAACAAGTACACAAGCAGGAGGCTTTGTAATCTTCCATATGACTTTATTAACAGTAAGTTTCAGAAAGCAGCGTAGCTGGCCTTCAACCAGGGGTGGTAGGCTTGTAGATGGAGAAATGTCACTTAAACCTGTGGAGGAATCCAAGAATACTAAGTCAAAATTTAGTCTAAATACAGAAAACACATAATCTGCTTTTTGAATGAAAACACACAAACATTTTCATCTCTACAGAGAGAAGGCTTATTCTATTTATTCTATTTTTTTGCGGTATGTGGGCTTCTCACTGTTGGGGCCTCTCCCGTTGCAGAGCACAGGCTCCGGACATGCAGGCTCAGTAGTTGTGGCGCACAGGCTTAGTTGCTCCATGGCATGTGGGATCTTCCCAGACAGGGGCACGAACCCGCGTCCCCTGCATCGGCAGGCAGACTCTCAACCACTGCGCCACCAGGGAAGCTCTCTATTTATTCTAATACATGAGAAGTAACTAGCAAACCAGACCATAGAATAATCTATCTGGTCACTTAAGCCACCCTGACAACTAGTTAGTATTCAGGATTTGATTCAGGTTATTTTAAGTAAAGAACATACCAACTTAAGACATGCTAATACAAACTCCTCTTTAACTGAAAGATATTAAATGAAAAATACAAATACAATGATAACAGTATACAGGTTTAAAAAAATCTATGAAGTAGTTGAAATTTTTCTTCCAAGTACTGTTGTTCTGATTATTTCAATGTCCACAGTTTTTAAGATATGTTATCTTTACCTAATTCTCTTACTTTAAAACCATCACTAAACATAAAACAGCAACAACTGTCAATCAGTTCTCAAATGAAGTCTACACTTTACAACTCAGCACTTCAAGAAAGACCACCTTAAACTGTGTCTTTTCTTCCTGCCGATATCACACAATGAGGACAGAAACTATCATCTTCAGATTATGCCATTATCTTTTAGCACAGTGCTGGGTTCATAATATTTTTGGCTTTTAGACAGATAATAAAATGTAAATGAGGCAATTCATCATGGCTTTCTATAAAGCTTCCCTTTAATGACCCTGATTGTCTTCTATTCGCGGTATCTTCTAACCATGACTTAGAGGAGATTTAAGAAGCCATTCCAATATTACACACAACTTTCTATTCCTCTCACTTTTCCCTGGGGAGTGGTCATGCCTCACAAGAAAAAAATATACCGCAGTCTATCAGATCAGGAATTTATATAACTAATTCTTTGGATTTCTAAAGTGAACAGCCTCTCTGCTTTCTTTAGTGAAGAAAAGACCCACCATAATCTTTATGGATAACTAGTTTCAATATAAAAATTATACACAGGTGTGTACATGAGTATTACTGTATATGCATGTGGTATAATGAGGACATTCTTACGTTATTTCTATTTTGATTTTCCTCCTATCAACCAAATATGCTTGACTGGTTTGACATAGGCAGCACCAGCACTGAACACTTCCACACTTCTGTTCCATATCCTCCCTTCATTCCTGGAAGGAAAGGCATTGCCTCAAAACTGCCTTAGTTATCTTTAAACAGTTTGGATAAGGTTTATTCCCAGACTGCAACTTTAGTCCTCAATCCAATGGCTTAATGCACTATCACTACTCCTAATACCTCTTTGCCTATACTATAAAATGCAGTCACCCAGTTTTTTTGTTTTGTTTTGAGGCAGCCCTGTAGAGATTCCATTTCATTTCATGATCTGCCCTGGGTTCCCAGGGTGACTGTTCTTGCTGCAGCTCACATTTCCCTGGTCTCTTCATAAGCTTGCTTCTTTTTGAGCAGACTAACCTGATGAGGTCCTCTTGCTACACACTCTTCCATCACCTCAAATCCTTCACAGTAACCCCCCCCCCCACTTCAACCCTACCACACTGTCACTCCCCAGTCTTTCTTCCTCTCTCCTCAACTATCTTTTCCCTACTCCCACCTGTAGCCCTTCATGATTTATGACTCTCACGCTTCAGTCATTCAATTAACATTTACTAAATCCTGCTTCGTGTTAGTTCTTGGGGATTCAGTAATGTGTAAAACGTGATCCTTGCCTATTAGGATTATTGACATACTCTCCAACTTATTTTTCTTCCAGTTCTATGTGAACCTGCAAAGCTATACCTCTCCCCTCCCGTCCCCACACATTTAACTTTTATCAAAAACACCCCTAAGTCATAGGTATTTAAAGTACAGTACAGTAACTATAGTTAATGATAGTGTACTGTATATTTGAAAGTTGCTGAAGAGTAGATCTTAAAAGTTCTTTTCACAAGAATAAAAAAATGTTTGTAACTATGTATGGTGATGGATGCTAATTTTACGTGGTAATCATTTCGAAATATATACAAACATTATGTTGTACACCTGAAACTAACAATGTTATATGTCAATTATACCTCAACTTTTAAAAACTAAAAACAAAACAAAACATTCCTACAATTTTTTTGTTCCCTTCCTCTGTAAGGGTTCCCTTTTAGCCTTCACTTCGTCCCATTTATTCACCCGCTTTGCCCCCTACTACAGCCCCTATATCCTTTCCATTCGCGGGAGGGCCAATTGCCCTTTTAACCTTCTGATTCCCTGGTTATTCTCCCTCCGCAATCCCTTTTTTTTTTTTTTTTCTTTTAACAGGCTGCTGTGGGAGGTCTCCCTAGAATGCTTCGCGGCCTGCTCCCCCAACTCCGCCCAACTACGCTTTCCTCAATCTTTGGTCGCTCATATTACCTCTCTTCTTGCGGCTACCGTCGCCCCCAGGCCCCGGGGCTTTCCGTTGTTTCATGACGACCCCCAGCTCTTCTTCACCAACTCAACTCCGGCCCCAGCACCTAAGCCGTACCCTCCCGCCATCCCCTCCCACGGCGCTGGCGTTCCCCAGCAACCGGCGCCGCTGGGCAGCTTGGGAGGCAGGAAGAAAGCGGCTCTTCCTTTAACAGCCTCTAGGAAGCCATGAGAAAGGAAGGCGCCAAGACTCCTTCCCGCCAATAGACTACAACACCCAGGTTGCTTTGCTACACTACCTCTGCGGGTTTGGACGCTGTCGCCTCCAGCTGCGCAAGCGCAAAGCGATAAGCCCTTTGAGGACTCCATTGCCCAGGGTGCATTGCCTTCAGTAACGCTTCTCTTTCCTGCGAGGGTCGTCTAGTTCTCCGCTTGGAATCTGGGGGATCAGAGACTCCGTTACCCAGCTCCCTTTGTGGAGGCTGGTGCGCACTTCCGGTGGAAGCGCTGGGGCGAGGGGGTGGAGTTTACGGAGCCGGTGGGCGGTGCTGCTGGTAGCTGGGTGCTATCCAAAGGCGACGGGGCGTCGCTAGGGGAGCGAGCTGTGTGACCGGTTGGGCCGCACTTAGCGTGGGACGAAGCTTCGGCTACTGTTCGACAGCCTGCGGCCTCCCCTTCATGTCGGCCCTCGAGAAGAGCATGCACCTCGGCCGCCTGCCCCCTCGCCCTCCTCTACCCGGCAGCGGGAGCAGTCAGAGCGGAGCCAAGATGCGAATGGGGTACGTAACCCGTACCCCTTCTCCCTAGAGGCCAGGCCCCGGCCATTGGAGAATGGTGTCTCTGGGCGTTTAGAACGGCACGTCAATGGAGCCTAAGGATAGGAGAGAATGTTGGCGGCGGCCTGGAGACGTTTAGATGAAATAGAAGGCAGATCTGGGGACTAGGGGAGGCGCCAAGTCAATGGAAATTGGAGGATAAATAGTATTGGAGGGAGAAGGGAATGAGGCAAAGATTGAGGAAGCTGAGAGGATAGTTTAAGACATGTAGGAGGCACCTCCAGAGAAGGGGTGGAGGAGGTTTGAGAAAAGGGAGAAGAGCGGTGACAAAGGTGGAGGGGAAATCTGCCAGGGATGGTTGAGGGAAATGGGAAACGATGGAAAGAAAAGTTGTGGGGAATTAGGAGAAGAACTTGGAAAAGGTTTAGGAGGAGAAAATCTTTATCTAGTTTCTCAGAGAACTAGATAATAGAAAACAGCTGGGGGAAACAGAGAACACCTGAGGCAGGGTTGGAGCGGAAAAGACAACCAGGGCGCAGAAGGTTCTAGAGAGAGTTCCTAGGGGTGTAAGAGGCAGATTCTGGGAGTGAGGGAGTAACTTAGAGATTAAGTCTCTTAAGGGGTACTGAGAAAGTGTGGAGAACAGGCCTAAGGAAAGATGGAGAACACAGCCAAGAAGACAGTTAGGGGTGATAGGAATGTGCTGAGAAGTGAGGGTAGGGAATAAGGGGAGGAGTGAGGAGGGAGAGGGCTGAGGGGCTTAGAGAGTAACCATGGGCTCCAGAGATTGAGAAATGACTAGGAATAGGGTCTAGTGAATGGCGTGCTGCAGAGGTAAGGCCTGGGAAGCTTAAAGAGGAAGATTTGGGAAATTGATTTTTGCTGGGCAAATAGGTCTGGCAGAAGCTATGTACTGATCTGGTAAGATTCAATTAATGAAACACTGAGAGGAGCCACTTAAAATGTTTTGAGGGAAACCATCATTTACTGGAATGGGAGGAGCTGTGTTGGCTTTGGGAATTTAGGTTGCTGAATGGCTTGGGCCAGGTTGGGGGATACTAAGGTGTAGGAGAGAGAGTGTAATGAGCTGAACCTGGGAGAAGTAGAAGGCAGAGGTAATTGAACAGGCAGTTGGTTTTGAGGGGTATTTGTAGTATCAGATAGGATTCTGGAGACTAGTGACTGGAAAGAGAAAAGGGGTAGGAAAAGTACTTAGGTATGTGGTAGTCAGGAGTGTGTGTTTGGGATTCTAGAGATGGGTTGGTAGACATTCTTGGAATAAGGACTAGAGAAGAAAAACCTTAGGTTCTGAAGATTAATATGTACAAAAACTGATCGAAAAGGAGATTTAGATGGGAGATACAATACTGTGAAAGCATGTCCTAGCAATGAAGAGAAAGGAGAATCGTGTAAATTAAAACAGTGGAGTAGAGGGGTGGTGAGAATGGTTGGAAAAACTGGGGAAGGAAACTAAGAATTGAAGTGGAAACCTGACTATGAGACACAGTAGAAAACTGAGAAAACCTTGACAAGTGAAGATAGGTCGATGGATGCACAATACAAAGAGGTGGTAGAAGCCTACCTGTAAGGTAAAATGAAGATCGTTTTGGCTTTGGAAGACAAAGGTAGGACTGTAACATGATTAAGGAGGATCTGGAAGCTGATCCATAGGAGATTATTTGGGAAAATTAACCTGGACTATAAAATTAATGTAACGTTTATTGTTCATATGTATCTTAGTTGCTACCTTTCTTAAACTAAACTTTGATCTTTCAGTATTCCAGCACTCTTCTCTAAAATATATATAAAAATACTAGCTTTTTAATAACCATATATCCTTCAGATAAGTTAGAGCTTAGCTTCTAACTTTATCAAAAGTTCTCTGAAGATGAAGAACTGAAGAAAAATACTAAGAAAAAGTAAAATCAACTGATTAGATTATTAGTAACTTAACCTCTTTAAATAGATGCTTTCGTCCTCCTAATTTAGGTTAACTGCTTATCCTGGAAGATAAAGTTCTTTAGAAAAACGCTTCTTTATAGTACTGTGAAGAGAGGAGCATATATTGGTGAATTTTATGTGGTCCTCAAGTAGCTTATTTTCCTGTATTTTTATTTCCTATTTCCTTATTGGAACATAGGCATGCCTCATGTAAGCCTAATGTTAATGATAATGTAGACTGTCTCCTCTTCTAGAATCATAAAGCTGGAAGAGAGTCTCTGAGACCTATTGTGTTTTTTGGATTCATAGTTGTTATCATTGGCAATACTTAATGTGAGTTGTGTGTCTTATTCCTTTGCAAATACTCTAGGATTCAGTCTTCCTTTTTCCTCAGTCAGACCTGGTTTATGAAGTCTCACGTCTACCAATTTCAAATCATTCTTCTTTATTTCTAACTTCTTCTTACTTGCTTTTTTTTTACTCTTTCCATCTTTTCCACTCCCCAGTCCATCTCTTACTCTCAGGTTGGACCTGTTCCTTATATGACTTACTCTTTCACCTATTTTTCATATTCTCTTGCCTTCAGTTTCAGTAAACCTTATTTAGATATGTTTGCATATTCAGGGTGGTTTTGAGTTTTTGGTTTTTCCTGAGTTTCCATAGTTTTGTTTTTCCAAATGGATTTAGTAATTCCAGAGTATTGCTGGATAAAGCAATAATAACAATTACTTTTTTTTTCTTTTTTTTTTTTTTAAGTGAGTACTATGTGCCAGGCATTGTGATAGTAGCTTTATGTATGTTATTTCTCAGGTAAGGCCTGAAATCCTGGTTTTATTGTTCCTTGATAGATGCCAGTAGATGATACCCAAAACAGTGGTTTTGAACTTTTTAATTAAAGATTTTGGAGCTCTGATTTTAGAGCCCTACTTGCAACTGGTATTAGTCTGTTAGGGTTGCCATAACAAAAATACCATATTTTTTTTCTTAAGAGTGCTAGAGGCTGACCAAGATCAAGGCACCAGCAGATTCCGTGTCTGGTGAGGACCACTTCTTAGTTCATAGATGGCAGTCTTCTCGCTGTGTCCTTACATGTGGCAAGGAAGAAGAGAGCTCTGTGGGGTCTCTTTTATAAGGGTACTAATCATATTTATGAAGGCTACACCCTCATGACCTTATCACCTCCCAAAGGCTCCACATTCAAATACTGTAGAGGTTATTGGAGATTAGGATTTAAAGTGAATTTTGGGGGGCACAGAATTTCAGTCTATAACACCTGGTATGCTTGAGGGTGTTTTTATTTTATTTATATATATATATTTTAATTTAATTTAATTTATTTTTTTATACAACAGGTTCTTATTAGTCATCAATTTTATAAACATCAGTGTATACATGTCAATCCTAATCGCCCAATTCATCATACCACTATCCCCACCCGCCTCTGGCTTTCCCTCCTTGATTTCCATACGTTTGTTCTCTACATCTGTGTCTCAACTTCTGCTCTGCAAACCAGTTCATCTGTACCATTTTTCTAGGTTCCACATAAATGCGTTAATATACGATATTTGTTTTTCTCTTTCTGACTTACTTCACTCTGTATGACAGTCTCTAGATCCATCCACGTCTCAGCAAATGGCCCAATTTCGTTCCTTTTTATGGCTGAGTAATATTCCATTGTATATATGTACCACATCTTCTTTATCCATTCGTCTGTTGATGGGCATTTAGGTTGCTTCCATGACCTGGCTATGGTAAATAGTGCTGCAGTGAACATTGGGGTGCATGTGTCTTTTTGAATTATGGTTTTCTCTGGGTATATGCCCAGTAGTGGGATTGCTGGATCATATGGTAATTCTATTTTTAGCTTTTTAAGGAACCTCCATACTGTTCTCCATAGTGGCTGTATCAATTTACATTGCCACCAACAGTGCAAGAGGGTTCCCTTTTCTCCACACCCTCTCCAGCATTTGTTGTTTGTAGATTTTCTGATGATGCCCATTCTAACTGGTGTGAGGTGATACCTCGTTGTAGTTTTGATTTGCATTTCTCTAATAATTAGTTATGTTGAGCAGCTTTTCATGTGCTTCTTGGCCATCTGTATGTCTTCTTTGGAGAAATGTCTATTTAGGTCTTCTGCCCATTTTTGGATTGGGTTGTTTGTTTCTTTAATATTGAGCTGCATGAGCTGTTTATATATTTTGGAGATTAATCCTTTGTCCATTGACTCGTTTGCAAATATTTCCTCCCATTCTGTGGGTTGCCTTTTTGTCTTGTTTATGGTTTCCTTTGCTGTGCAAAAGCTTTGAAGTTTCATTAGGTCCCACTTGTATATTTTTGTTGAGGGTGTTTTTAAAATCACTACTTTAGTACATTCCATTACCATTTGAGAGGCTATAAGTTATTAAAATCATTTGACCATTTTTCAACATGTTTTTGGTTCATGAATAGTACTCTGTTTCTATAATCATCTCTTACATTTTTATAGTGCTTTAACTGACATATATTAGTGCTTTT